CAAATCCTCCTTTTAGAGTAATTCACGTGATTTGCTGCAGGGATTGGACACGCGGGATCATCACAACTCCTGGCTGGCCTGACGTGCACCCATTATTCTGACGGAAGCAAGTTGTGGGTGTTACCATGATCACACGACGCGGCTGCGCCAGAATGCCAGTAAGCTTTTCCCAATGTCTGACCTTTCGCACTTAATTGGGTGCCACGTCAGCCCTATTTCCCCAGGCATAACAATTTTAATTTGTCGTAGGCTATATATTGAACACTTTGGATTTTGGATTTTGGATATGAAGAAGCTATGAATAATTTTAATATTTAGTCTTACACTATATATTAAAATTATTTGAAATATTAAAATTAATTAAAAAGGAAAAACTTATATTGTTATAGAATATTTAAACAAATGGGGGTGTATTTATAAATTTTACAGGTTTTTTTTGTCATTTTGTAAAGTTACACCAGGTTCCGGTTCCAGCGATGGAGTAAAACTAACGGAGTTAAAACTTAAACGGACTTAATCTTCCAAAATGCACACAGCCTTGTGAACTAACGAACTTGTAACAGGCCGTTAACGAACTTAACACCCTTATGAATATCAGTTCTTCAGGCATCTTCTTTGTTTCAGAACAGAGCTTTCTAGGCTTTTTGAATTAATCTGCACAACAAATTAAAATAATTTGACAAATGCTACCACTCAGATGAATGGGATTGGGGTCTGAGTTGTTTAGAGTCCTTCTAAACAACCCCCGGATAAAATGATTATTAAAAATTCTTCTGAAGTAATTCTATCATTTTCTTTTATTATAAGTAATGCTACAGTTATCGACGGATATACACCGAATTTGTGCATTGAATGACGTGACAAAATCCTAACCGTTGATTTATTATAAATTAATATTAATTAATGGTCAAGATTTTGTCACGTTATTCGATACATAATTTCGGTGTACACTTTTCGATAACTCTATCATTTTCCTTTATTATATCATGTTTAAGATGGGAATTGCAAGAATCATCCAGCAGGTACAAGATATTAGCATTTTTAACATGAAAAAGCACTTTCAAGATTTCCACAATTTGAATAGTGAACTCTTTAATTTTTACGGTCCATTCTACCCTTTTTGTATTATTTTACAGACACAGATCATCCAACCAAAACAAAGCAAAGAAATGAATAATACTGACAATAACATGATACATACAAATTGGTAAAAAATGGGCAAGTGAGATTTGTGTAAGTTGAAGATTGTATGACTCAGGACAAAACCCAATTAACTTTGATATGATATGATTAACCATCTGAAACATTCTTCAAAAAAAACGTAACATGATTTCATCATCTTCTCAATCAATATCCCCTCTTTGGCATATAAAGTCAACATACCAAACTAAAACATATATATTTGATTACTCTGAAACAAAAACATAACGCAAACAACATCACAAAGTATGGAAGTTTTTTAGTACGCCATGAATAACAAGTTCAATAAAATTCCAACAAATGAGATATTGATAAGGATGAGTGATAAGATTAAAATGCCTAAGACTAAGACAATTCATAAATGTGCAACAGAGATTAACCTATTGAAGCCCATTTAATTAAAATTGCAACTCAACAGTACAACATTCATATATAAAACGTTTGTCATGTGATTGTCATATAAAAAGTAAAATCTCAACAACAAAACATTTGTATGTCATATAATTTATTCATACAATAATGTTTTACTTACAACTTAATCATACAAACAGAAAAAAATTACACAAAATTTATATAAAATAACTATTTTGTTTTTTGTTTTTTTGTCTATTTGTATGACTTAGTTATACAACTCAATTGTAAGCATGATATTGCTCTTACAACACCCTCCTAAACATCATAATCACCTCAAACACCTAGATTCTTAAACACGACTACTTCCTACCTTAATTCTTTCAAATCTATTCAATTACATTTAAACGTGTATTTAAAGAATTAAGAATATATAATTTCAATTAAATTGTATAAAAATATCATTTTTGGTAAATTTATCCTGTTAAAAATTTTAAATACGTAAATCTAACCGTCTAAATAAATCCCATCTATCCAGCAATCAATGCAGGGAACAACAATTCTTCTTCTTCTTCTTCTTCTTCTGCAACGTTTACTTGTTGTTGTATGGTTGACCAGCTTGTTCTTCTTGTTCTTGCCATCCACCACCTCTGAGTGATTGTTTTCCTTACAGTGACCACAAAAAACTTGATTTTTTTCTTTTTTCTTAGCATCACTCTTACCTTTCCTCGAAATCGCAGCCTTTGTTTGTAGAGCAACTTCTAACCCGTTCTCACTTCTCATCTTCCTTCTTTATTCTTGCACTTCAAGAGCACTCATCAAATTAGCCAATGACATTGACTTGAAATCCCTTGAGTCTACAAGGAACAAAATCTTGGACTCGAACTTTTCCGACAAACTCACCAAAACTTTATCTACTACCCTCCTTCTGATAGGTCTTTACCCAAGATTCTAATTTCATTCGCAAGATTCATTAGCCTATCAGAGTACTACGATACGCTTTTTGTTTCAATCATCCTCATGTTCTCAAGCTGCCTCTTTAACATGATGATCTTCATATTCCTTGTCTTCTCAAAACCTTGATACTCTGCCTACAACTTCTCCCATATTTCTTTAGCGGTACTACAAGCAATGATCTTCACAAAAACTGGATCAGTTATAGGTGATTGTAGATACGAAAGAGCCCTTGCTTTCTTCCTATTCATTGCTTTATGTAATTTCATCAGAGCGATCGTTGGATCCTCTGGTAAATCTTGAAAGTCACCACCAATTTTTGTAACTTCCCACAAGTCTTAAGTTTGTAAAAATCCTGTCATCTTCACTTTCCAGATATGATATAAGTTCTCCTGTAAATACAGGAATCTGCAGCATTGAATTTTATGGAGTCATCTTCCTCCACTCTGATACCAATTGTTGGAATTGGGAGTTAGATAATTTTAAATCACACAGCAAAAACTTGATAAATTGAAGGAAGAAATCTGAAGTTTTATTTCACTCGTAATTGACTGAATTACAAAAAATAATATTTTCCATCTCTTTTATAGTAAGAGACAATAATATTAAACCTAATCAAAAACTAACTCCCTAATTCAACTCAAACTAAGGATAGGAAAACAATTAATCCTAAACTCAAACTCTTAAAGCAGGAAATTAACTAATATAACAATTCTTCTAAAACAAGCAAAAAAATCAAATTACTAAACGGAAGACTTTAACCGAAACTGAATGCTTGGAACGCAACGCACGCCACGGCATAATTTCTCTTTTCCAGAGCTTAATTTTCTCCCCTAGTCGCGGCCAGCTTTTCCTTCTGCCGTGGCAAGCCCTTTTCTGCCACAATTTCGACTTCATCCATTCCAAAACTGCAATTCTTTATTTCTTTTTTTACCCCAAAAAAAAAAAAAAAAAAAAAACTTTATTTCTTCTACCATAGCCAAGTTTAGATTCACCAAAATAGGTTCAACTCTTAACATATTTTCTTACAACCGCTTCTCGACTCCTCCAGTCCTCCTTAAAGATAACTCCATCAACGTTGCACCGTTGTGAATTTCGTAGCTGACCCGATTCTCACAACCCCTTTCAATTCTTTAAGCACATGGTTACGAAATGATGATCCACCAGTCTTTGAGACAGCCCGAGGGAAAAATTTATGGGATTCTGTAGCTGATGAACCTAGATTGAGAAACCTGTTTTACAATAACATGGTCTCTGACAGTCTGACTCTCGGTTGATGTCAACATTTTTTATTGAAAACTAGAAAGATGTGTTTAAGGAGTTGAAGTCTCTGGCTGATGTGGGTGGTGGAACTGGAACTATGGCCGAAGCCACAGCCAAAGCTTTTCCGGAAATTCAATGCACTATTTTTGGTCTTCCACATATTGATGATAATTTGCAGGGGACCAAGAACTTGACTGCTGTTCAGCAGATGCAGTTTTGCTCAAGGTAAAATAAATATTTCTTTTAGCTCTTGTTTTCACCTGTCTATCATCTTAAATTTTAAGGGAGTTAATTTTCTCTAATTTTTATGTAAAATATACAGTGGATTCTACATGACTGGGGAGATGAAGATTGCTTGAAGATACTAAAGAGGTGTAAAGAAGCAATTCCGAGCAAAGATAAAGGAGGGAAGGTGATTTAGTGATTATTTTGGACTTGATCTTTGAAACACAAAATCAAGATGAGGAGTGGATTGAGACACAGCTATGCACTGACATGTACATGATGTGTGTGCTATCCGCTGCCAAAGAATGCGACCTCAAAGAATGGAACAAACTCTTCTTGGAACTTGGAAGCCGGTTTCAGCCGCTATAAGGCAACTCATATGACAGGTCGTAGGGCTCTCATTGAGCTTTACCCTTTGATCTGTTTTTCTAGTTATATTTTCAGTGTGGATAATTGTTTGGTGCAACGGATGCACCAACAAACCACCCAATGAGGCGGCGCCTGTTGTGGGTTTAAGTTTGTTTCTGAATATTTGTACTTTCCTGTATTCCGATACAAGTACAGTATATTTGTATTCGGTAGTGCAGCAGATTTGAAAGAAGGGACTGGTAACTTTCATTTCCATCATCCTAATAACAAAATGATATCAACGTCTCAACGTACCAATCCGATATGATACATTACGTCATATACAAAAAAACCATTGAGATTGCACATGTTTTGAATTGCGTCATTAGTCATCGTCTTAAAACACTTCCTCGCCTATCTCCTGCATACATACAAGAAAATTTACTCTTGACAAAAATGCAAACAAGTTTATAATTCATTGAGATCTCAATATTTTAAAAATTCCCACCTACAAATCAAAACTCAATATGCTTCGATTTCCATGTTATGATTGGAACCCTTTTTTATGTGTTTTATATCAGTTGCATATGAGAGTTGTCTCAATTGTCATGTTACTGCATGTCCTTGAGATATTCTCATAGTCAACGTACAAAAGGAGGTAGAAAACGTGGGAATAAAATCCATTAATAAAGACACAATGTGACAGAAATAGGTGAAACAATAAGTAATATCTAAAGTACAGCCTCTGCACATTAATAAGCAGTGCACAATGCTCCCCCTCATAACAATTACACATAAAAAATCACACAACTAATTTCTAGCTTCCGCAGGTACTGTGGTCTGTTTAAACAATAAAGAAGAGCCAACTACCAAGTAATGAATGGGACTGGGATCTTCAGACCTCTCTCGTTCATCACAAAATTACAAACTTAGATCTAATTCCATCATTTGGAATTAGAAGTCCCAACAACTTCCACCTAGTTTTCCATTAATTGAAATTTGACTGATCTTCCCAAAAAGCCCTGCCAATTCAGACTATCAAAGGACGTATCTGATCACAGTAAAGAACCCATCCAATGTTTCAGGAAAGTTCACATCCATTCTCAGGAAAGAGATTCCCTTCCAAGAATTTCTGGAGACAAAAAGAAAAAAAAAGGGTTAACAGTGATACACAAGATTCCATTGTCCAATTGAAAAAGGCAATCCAAAACTAAGTAACCAAAATTGAATCTAACTTCTACATAGCATAAAATGGCAACAGAAACTGCTTCCACTGCAGTGATAATGCCTTCTCATCCCGGCAAGACACTTTGTTATATCAGGTTTAACATGGGAATTGCAAGAATCATACAGCAGTAACAACACATCCAGAATTAGCATTTGTAACAAGAAAAAGCACTTGATTCGAGATTTCCTACAATTTGAATAATGAACCCTTTCAATTTGTATTGTCCATTCTACCCTTTTTGTATTATTTTACGAACACCAAAAGAGCATCCAACCAAAAGAAAACAAAGAAATGAATAATACTGACAACATTGCCAAAAACATGATAGTATGATACATACAAATTGGTGAAAAATCAGCAAGTGGACCCTATATAAGAGCTTTGTGCATGACTTATTACATGATATGCAAAGATACTAATGATGTAAGTAGGAGACCCGTTCAAGAATTTATGACTTGAAAAAAAAAAATCTCAGGCCCAACCCCATGTTAATATGAAATAGAAAGGCAAAAATATGATGTACAGGTTTTCCACAAAACCATTCGAAACATTCTTCAATCAAAACGTAACATAATTTCATCATCTGAAGCAATATCCTAATCATCAACAAGATTTCCCCCCTTTATGCATATTCAATAACTAGGGGTACAAATGCCATGAAAACTGAATCATTGCTACCTTAGATGTAAAACAAAGCAATCATATAACGAAAATTTGCTTCCATTTGACTAATATAGTGTATTACTATTGAAAATTTTTGTTAAGGGAAAATTATTAATAACAAGCTTGATACACATTTCACTTCCTATTGCACTTCAAAATACACACACAAGCAACAACAGTTGATATAATATGTTAGAAAATAATTATACAAACATATATATTTAGAGGAGTCTTCTTGTGCCTAGGTTTTTGAGACTGAAACCATGTCCATGTCTACAGACCCACAAAAAGTAGTAGCATGGAATGACTCTTCATTTCCACAGCTTATCAAGATAAGATTGTAATTTGTAAAAATATAACGCAAGTTTCCATTAAAAAATTCAAACCATACAAATCCTACTTTCTACATATTGTCACGGACAACATATATACTGCGTATGGCAATATATTAGAACAGCGAAACTGATCTGAAATATGGATCCCACTTTAAGCATTACAAACTCCAAAATTTAATTGTGAACATAACCTAGAATCCCAAAATTAGATTTTGGACGACCATCTTCTAAAGCAACATTCAAGCTCGCTTTCAACCGACTTACCAAACTAAAACATATTATGTAAACAACATCACAAAGTATGTAAGTTTCTAGTACCCCATGAATAACAAGTTCGATAAAATTCCAACTAATGGGATATTGATAAGGATGAATGATAATATAATAATCAATAAATGCATCTGCAAGATGAAAATGTTAGCAACATTCAAAGATAAGCCAAGGAAAAGTAGTCTAGACTAAGACTATTCATAAATGTGCAACAGAGATCAATAGTTTAACAAATACAAAATAAAACGACACATGAATGCCTAAAGATACAAAACCTACAAATTTATAAAGATCGTGTAGCATCTAATAAACCATTATCAATCACACACGAAAGCCCATATTATTCAACAACGAAGTAAAAGGTGAAATCTCAACAATAAAACATTAATGAAAAACGATATACAAATAAATAATATAATCCAAAAAAATAATACCATGGTTCAGTATAACTACGTCGATTCCCACTCGATGTGGGTCGATTCAGCAAACCCAGATCCGACTCGCCACCTCTCCTCGTCCTCTCATATCCACCTGACTTGGGCCGCCCATCATCAACATACCGACCTGGAGATCCAAAATGCTTTTGACCCGACTCCCTCGCCCGCACAACCTCCGGCGTGGGCCTCTCCTCCTTGCCCGCAAAACCCGGCCTAAGATGCGGTGGCACAAACTTGTTCGGTTTGGGTGATACAATAACCGAACTAGCTTCCTTCTCCTTCTCCGGAACAAGAACAGGCGCGAAAGACTCTGAACCCGTACCAGTTCGTCCTAGAGGTCGCAGCGAAATGGGGTCAGAACCCGAATCCGTCAGTGGTGGATCAGGAATTTGAGAAGGAGAAGTCTGTAGTTGTTGGTGCGACGAAGGAGGTGAAGGCAACAATGAGGTCACGGGTTTGGGAGTGGGTTTGGTAAGAACAAGCATGCGGCCATGGCTTCTGGAGGAAGGTAACAGAGCTTTGTTACTAGTATTTGAAGAAGCGATCGAAGAATAAGAAGAGGAAGAGGAAGGTTGTCTAGTTGAGTTGGTGGCGGAGGTGGCGGGAGAGATATTTCTTTCGAGAACGTGATTGAAGTTGATGGAGGTGTACTTGTTGGTTCTTGCCATCAACCACAACTCCGGGAACGAAGAGAACGAGATTGAGATTTAGATTTTAGATGTGTTTGCATCAAGGAAATGGTCGGCGGTGCGTTTTGATTTTGGGGGAAATACAAAACAGCAGCAAAGGCTAGAGGCAAAAGGCAAAACGATGGGCGAAGTTTTGGATGTGGGGTCGGTTCCATGTGGTTACGTGGAGATATCTTAACGGAAGGTTAACAACGAACAAACTTTTTCAGCTTTCTTACATTTGTTATTATCATTCATTTTAATTGATTAATTAATATATTAAAAACAAATTTTGCATACCTTACAATTTCAAATCTTTTGTTTTAAGATTGTTGATGTTAGATTTAGATACTTTATATCTAAAAATACTATATAAATTCATAATATCTCATTCTAATACATAATTAAAACTTTAGATTAATAAAAAATAATATAAATAAAATAAATGATAACTTCTCATTTACAACTATCTACCATATTAACTTAAATATATAATTAAAGATTTATAATTTTAATATTAAAACTGAAGGTTTACTTTACTTTGGATTCAATGATATGTGAATGTCAGCTTCTATTATTTTTGACAGTGATATAGTATAGACAATGTTAAGTTCCAACTAAAATGATACATACGTAAATATATATTATCTTCTAAATTTTGAGATTTCCAACATTAAGTAAAACCTCCCAAAAGGATTGCTGAGTCATAACGTAAAGGCTTATGTAATGTAAAGTGTGTTTATGGCCCAAGAAGTATGGGCCCATCAACCCAAGAGCTGATTTTGACCAACATACTGGACTGGGCTGTGTGCCTTTTAAGACCTTCACAACAAGTTTAAATATTGTATCAAATCCCTTGTTAGAATCATTTATCATAGCGTTAATTAAAAAATGATGAACGTTGTAGAAGGGGCGGATGATTTGATAGAGCAACAATAACAGATGACTTCATCTGGCCGTTAATTAGTCAATTTTATGATCAAAACTTGAATATGAAAACTCAGTGTCGGTGCTAAGAAAATTAAAGAAATAGAGGAATAAAATGTACAAAATGGGGCCCACAGAAGCATGATTGGTATTTGGTATTTCTTTTATAATTGATACTTGTAGGTGTTATCCAATTCATTCCAACATGACATGTCATGCCAGCCTGCCAAACTCACACTACTAGTACATTATTCCTTTTGTTCATCATTCAAAACTCTAATTAAATTATAACACAATGGCCTTGTAATGAAAACAAGGGGAAATGTCTACTGTTACATCTCTAATTAATTGAAGCAGGAAATTATTAATTGAAATATGTCTTTTATTCACATTTGGCAATTAGCTAATAATATTGGGTTACCTTTTGCTTAACAAAAATTACCAACACTCTAAAAAATTAGAAATTGGCAATACGTTACTTCAAATGTTTACTTAATCCACGTTATCTGGCATTATTCAATTCTAGCATTGCCAGATGAGGACGGCTAGCCACCAGTATTATTAAAAAAAAAAAAAAAAAAAAAAGGATTATTCAAGGAAGAAAAAACCATAGAAATAAACTTGCTAACTTCGTTTTCTTGTTTCTTGAAGTAAGCTCATGGATTAATAAATTAATTATTTATTATTAAAAAATATTTTGTCTTGACTTAAGACTATAGACTATAGCCAGCTCATTCCAGCAACGAAGTCTCACCTCCACATCTTAACTTATCCCATAAAATCCCACTCCATTCTCCACTGCACACAACAATCATCATTCATCAACACTTCACTTCACCATGGCATTCTCTACTCCTCTCCTAACCCTAACACCTCTCATTCTCCTCCTTCTCTCTCCTCTAATCCAAGCTCAATCTGCCCCCGCCCCCGCCCCCGCCCCCGCTGGCCCCATCAACATCACTGGTATTCTCGACAAAGGTGGCCAATTCACCACTTTCATTAAACTCTTAACCTCAACCCAAGCTGCAAATCAAATTGAAAATCAAATAAACAACTCCAACCAAGGCATGACCGTCTTCGCCCCTACCGATAACGCCTTCAACAACCTCAAAGCCGGTAGCCTCAACCAACTCAATGACCAGGAACAAGTACAGCTTGTTCAATATCATATACTACCGGTATTTTACAAGTTGAACGATCTTTTATTGGTGAGCAACCCGGTTAGGACTCAGGCCTCTAGCTCAGACGGTGGATCCTGGGGGCTAAACTTCACCGGGCGGGCGAACCAAGTGAATGTGTCAACTGGGCTTGTTGAGACACAGATTAACAATGCTTTAAGGCAAGAGTCTCCATTGGCCGTTTACCAAGTGGACCAGGTTTTGTTGCCTAATGCACTGTTTGGAGTTAAGCCTCCATCTGCAGCTCCAGTTCCGTCTTCAAAAACACCTTCAAGCAGCTCAAACACGACGAGGGCAGCAGCCGATGGACCTACATCTGAAGATGATAGTGGTTGTAGCGGGAGAATTAATATGGGATTAGGGTTGGTTGCTGGTCTGGCATTATTTTGCGTGGGTGTTGTATCCTGAGCATAAGCGAGAGCCTGAAGATAAGGCTTTGAAATTGTTGCCGCAGTTTTAATATTTTCATTCGTTATTTTTTTTAAAAAAAGATTATGGGCTGTAGCTACCTATGTTATTATTTGTATTTCTTTTTTGTTTTAAATTGTATGATTTTTATAATATGAGTTTCATAATTCATATTATGTATTTTCAGCGCCTTGGATCATCTCTTGCTATAATATGAATACGATCCAAATATAGTTGATTATTAACTTATTTAGGAAATATAAAACCCTCCCGAATGCATCTCGTTCTCGTGTCAAGTAATTCGATTATAGATGGAGAAATAATTTTTTTTCTAGGCTATACGGTAACCTTAACTTTATTTTCTTTTTCAAATCTATCATATTATAAAAAAAAATTGTCTTACTTCCGAGCATCAACCGCATTGATATGGAGTTAAAAATTAAAATCGTGGGGCCAAAAACACAATATTCATCCCATTATTATTTCTTTTTCTAGTTTCTTCATAATTTTGGCCCCGAGAAAGAATCCCAGGAGTAGTTGCAACTGCTCACGTGTAGCTAGATCAGAATTATTAGTAACACTGTCAATCCTCATTCGTATTATTCATTGTTTGTGTTATACAAAACTAATTCCATGCTTTTCATTAATTTTGTTGATGTTTGATTTTGACACTAACGACTCACACGTGTAAAGTACTAAGAGAGTTTTAGAAATTACATATGATGGATTCAATCAATTTGAATATGATGTTGAGATTATATATGTTTGCAAAAACAAAACTAATAGATAGACGAGAAGAATTTTTATAGTGGTTCAGATGCTTAAAGCGAATCTTATATCCACTGTTATTTTATTATTCCCTGACTATTTCCATGATATTGTCTGTAAAGCATACAAGATGGAGAAATACTTTGTTTATAGAGAAAAATAAGCTCTCTTGTGTCTAACTCTCATATGTCCAGCCTTCTCTTTTACGGAGAGAGGTGCTCATTTATACACTTTTGAGGTTAATGTAATGAGTGTTTTTGTAAGTTGCCTTGACACATGGAGAGCTCTCGTTCATCCTTATATCTTTGAGGCGATATAGGCTTGACAGCTACTACACTTTGTCTTTTAGGCACTTGTTGAGCTGACATCGGTGTGACCTTTAAGCACAACAAACCCCCCCCCCCCCCCTTGTTTTTGGAGTGCGTAATCACGTTTCAAAAACTCATGTCTTAGATCTGAATAGTTGTCGCACTATAGACTGCAGTCTCAAACTGAAGAGCTCGAATTATGTCTGGCGCGATCGAGTACTAAGAGCTAGGACTACGATTTGAGTGTTATGATCTGAGCGCTTGGAGCGATCCGAAGCTGAGCGCGATCTGATAATTGACATGAAATGTCCAATAGATGAATTCCTGGAGAGAGCTAATGTCAAAAGCTAAATTTACGACTGAGAGGCCTTAAACGGACAAGCCAACTTAAAACAACCATAACTTTTGATCCGAAAGGATTTTTGGAGCCCGTAAGATATCCATAGAAAGCTCATTCCGAGCTCTATGTCGTGGCAATGGGAAAACCTAGTTGGGACCATTTTCGGGGCCAAAATCCACCGTTTCGACATATTTTTGTGCTATTTTAAGTTTTCTACGCATTTTTTCTAACGCTTGCAGTTGGTAGCGATCCAAGAACTGAGAACTGATCATGATCTAGGAGCTGAGAACACGACCTGAGGCTATTCGCAATCTCAGAACTAAGAGCTGACGATTTGAGAGCTAGAAGCTGATCGCGATCTGGTAGGGGCTTGACCTGAGAGTCTGAGGCGTACAATCTGAATGATTTGATGCACACGATCTCAAGCAAACGAGTGAGCTTATGAGCCCAATCAAAAAGCGTAAGGAGCTCGATCAGAGAGCATAATTTGAGATCATAAAGAGCTCGATCAAAGAGTTATAGAGCTCGATTTGAGATCACAAGAAGTTCTATCAAAAAGCATGGAGCTTGATTTGAGAACACAAGAAGTTCAATCAGAAAGCACAGAGCTTGATCTGAGAACAGAAAAAGTTCAATCAGAAAGCGTGAAGCTTGATCTGAGAACAAAAGGAGTTCGATTAGAAAGTGCGAAGCTTGAACTGAGAACACAATGAGTTCGATCAGAAAGCGCGAAGCTTGATCTGATAACATAGGAAGTTCAATTAAAAAGCGCGAAGCTTGATCTGAGAACTCGAGATCAGCAATCTAAGCGCTCGAAAGTGCAATCTGGCCACTCAGAGGCGTGATCTAAATTATTTGAACGCGTGATCTCAATGATCTTGAACGCGCGATCTGGATGATCTGAGCGTGCGATCTGCAATTTCGCCACTCAATCTAAGAGCTCTAATGCGTGCAATCTAATCATGCCATTAGAGAGCTAGAGATATGAGCAATTTGAGTGCGTGATCTCAACGATCTTGAACACATGACTTACGATCTAGCCACGCGATCCGAGTGCTCTGATGCGTGCAATCTGATCATGTCATCTGAGAGCTCTGATATGTGCGATTTGCGATCTGGCCACACGATCTGAAAGCTCTAATGCGTGCGATCCGATCACACCATCTGAGAGCTAGAGATCTGAGTGCGTGATCTCAGCGATCTTGAACACGAGATCTGAGCGTGTGATCTACGAACTGGCGACACTATCCGAGAGCCCTAATGCCTGCGATCTGATCACACCATCTGAGAGCTCTGATGTGTGCGATCTACGATCTGCCCACGCAATCTGAGAGCTCTAATACGTGCGATCTGCGATTTGGCCACGCCATCTGAGTGCTTTGATGCGTGCAGTCAGAGCTCTGACTATGCGATCTGAGTGCTCTAATGCGTGCGATCTGTGATCTGACCAAGCCATTTGAGAGCTCTGATGCGTGCAATCTTTGATCCGGCCACGCGATCTGAGAGTTTTGATACACGCGATCTGCGATCTGACCATTCCATCTGAGAGCTTTGATGCGTGCGATCTATGATCTGACCACGCCATCTGAGAGCTAGAGATCTGAGTGATCAGGGCGTGTGATCTCAAAGATCTTGAACGCGCGATCTAAGCGTGCGATCTGCGATCTGGCCACACGATTCGAGAGTTGTGATGTGTGAGATCTGATCACGCCATCTAAGAGCTTTAATGAGTGTGATCTAATCATGCCATCTGAGAGCTAGAGATCTGAGCACATGATCTCAACAATCTTGAACGCGCGATCTGAGCGTGAGATCTACGAACTGGCCACGTGATCCGAGAGCTCTGATGCCTGCGATCTGATCATGCCGTCTAAGAGCTCTGATGTGTACGATCTGTGATCTGGACACATGATTTGAGAGCTCTGATGCACGCGATCTAAGAACTCTGATGTGTGTGATCTGTGATCTAGCCACGCCATCTAAGAGCTTTGATGCGTGCGATCTACAATTTGGCCACGTGATCTGAGAGCGCTGATACATGCGATTTGAGAGCTCTGATACGTGCGATCTGACCACACCATCTGAGAGCTCTGATGCGTACGATCTATGATCTAACCATGCCATCTAAGAGCTGGAGATCTAAGTGATCTTAGCACGTAATCTCAATGATCTTGAACGCGCGATTTGAACATGCGATCTACAATCTAGCCACACGATCCGAGAGCTCTGATGTGTGAGATTTGATCACGCCATCTGAGAGTTCTGATGCGTGCGATCTAATCACGCCATCTAAGAGCTAGAGATCTAAGCTATCTGAGCCCATGATCTTAGTGATCTTGAACGCACGATCTGAGCGTGTGATCTGCGATCTGGCCATGTGATTCGAGAGCTTTGATGCGTGCAATCTGATCATGCCATCTGAGAGCTCTGATGCGTGCGATCTATGATCTGGCCACGCAATCCGAAAGCTCTAATGTGTGCGATCTGATCACGCCATTTGAGAGCTAGAGATCTGAGCAATCTGAGCACGTGATCTCTTTAATCTTGAACGCACGATCTGAGTGTGTGATCTGCAAATTGGCCACGTAATCCAACAGCTCTGAAGCCTACGATCTGATCAGGCTATCTGAGAGCTCTGATGCGTGCGATCTGCGATCTGGCCACACGATCTAAAAGCTCTGATGCATGCAATATGATGACTTTTATGCTTGCAATTTATGATCTAGCCACGCCATCTGAGAGCTCTGATACATGCGAATCTGAGAGCTCTGATGTGTGTGATCTGCGATCTGACCACAACACCTAAGAGCTTTGATGCGTGCGATCTGCGATCTGGCCACACGATCCGAGAGCTCTGATGCGTGTGATCTGATCACGCCATCTGATAGCTCTGATGTGTGCGATCTGAGAGCTCTATTGCGTGCAATCTGCGATTTTGCCATGTTATCTGAGAGCTCTAATGCGTGGGATCTGCGATCTGAGAGCTCTGATGCGTGCTATCTGACCTCACCATCTGAGAGGTCTGATATGTGCGATCTAGCCACGTGATCTGAGAGCTCTGATGTGTGCGATCTGCGATCTAACCATGCCATCTAAGAGCTCTAATGCATGCAATCTGTAATCTGACCACGCTATCTGAGAGCTCTGATGTGTGTGATCTGTGATATGGCCATGGAATTTGAAGCTAAAGATCAGTGATCTTAAGTTGAAAATCTGAGAGCTCTAATGCATGCAATTTAAGATCTGGTCGCATGATTTCAGATCTCTGATGCATGCGATCTACGATTTGGCCACACGATCGGGAAGCTTTGATGCGTGCAATCTGTGATTTGGCCACACAATCAGGGAGCTTGGACGCAGGTTCGAGACTTGCATGGGCCACCAAACTATTGATGCTTGATTTTAACGCTAATGACTCGCACGTGCAAAGTGCTAAGAGAGTCTTAAAAATTATACGTGATGGATTCATGAGATGTGAATATGGTGCTGAGATTATATATGCATACAGAAATATAAATAATAGATAGATAAGAGGGATTTTTATAGTAGTTCGGATGCTTAAAGCGAATCATACATCCATTGCTATTTTATTATTCCCTGACTATTTCCATGATATTGCCTGTAAGACATACAAAGATGGAGAAATACTTTGTTTATAGAGAAAAA